TTGATGTTTTGAAGATAAGAGTAGCCTTTAAAAGAGCATTAGTGTTTTTGTACAGAAAAAGGTTCATGTGTTCAGCCTATTGCAAAGTGCACTTGCTTGCATTCTTCCTGTGCAGCACAAAGGCAGCATTAATGGAAATGATAAATAGTTTGATGAGCAGGCCAGGTGGCATAGCAATGGCCCGCAAGACTGCTGAGCTGGAGACACAGGTTTTAAAACAAACTTGGGGCTCTTGCTTCCTGGACTGGTTGAAGTTGAACATGTCGAGGAGATAATGTGATTGATCTCTTTGGAGGAGGATGCCAGCTGGATAGCTCACAAACTGCTCCTTCAAGATTCTCCTTAAAGATGAATTGATGGCAGCTTCTGAAAGAGTTACTCACACCACGTTCTTCCCAGCCATTCAGAGGTAAGGCTCTATCACAGTGGCTGCTAAAAGAAGGAATTGAGCATTTAAAGGGACAGGAAAAAGGTGTCTCTGGTGAAAGAAACTGCAGGAAGTACATTCCCAAAATGCATCTATTTCTATACTGTTGTAAAATAGATTTTTTTAGGAGCTTTTGTGCACAAATGGTTGTGTTGTCTTTGGTTTTTTGTTTTTTTCTTTGGGTTTTTTTTATTTTTTTTTTGCATTACAGTGGGATCCTGTAAATCCTAATAAAATAAGAGGTCAGCTTTTCATCCGAGGGCTGCAATTCATTTATATATTCATTATAAATTCATTATATATAATCAGTTATTTAAAAAATATTATAGACAAGTATCTGTTCAAAATCATGGTGAAGACAGGATTTGTTTTATCCTTAGCTTCTTTGTCCTTGTAGTTCTTGAGTTACGTTCCTCCCTTCATTGGAGGTACCCTTCTGGTACCTTTTCTTCTGATGAGGTAAATACGTGTCCTTTTGAAACTGTCCCTTGCTGATTCAGAATCTTTTATTTCTCAGGACATGGCAACTTGTACTTTGATCCTGTATAGTCAGCTTTTCCATTTACTCTAATGTTAGACAACAGACAGCAATGAAACTTACTTTGGGACTAAGAGTGCCTCAAAAAACTTAGTTAATGTATGATAATATATATTTGACCTAAAACTACCCTGACCCTTAACAACATGTACAGATTATAGAAGGATGGAAATGGAGTCCCACAAATAAACTGGATGCAGTAGGAAGAAGCAGTCTTCCTTGAGTCTTAGGAATTTCAGTCATCCAAATGAGCCATAACAGTATTAAGAGAAAGTAAAAATGCAGACAGAACAAATTTTGGTAACATCTAAAAATGAAAACAAACAATTAATTTGTTTGACTTCATCTGATGACGACTGCATGTTAAAGAGAGAAAATAAGGTAGAGCTCATTTTTTTGTTATTGCAAGGCACTAGTTTTACTGTAAAAAGCCTTCAACATATGATGTCTTATAGCCATGAGAAATCAAACTCCAAACACAGATTTTTACTATAAGGATAGTGGCAGAATTTATTCATATCACGTGTGGATTGCTTGATTACTTCTCAACTGTGCAATGTTTTGATCCCTTGGAAGTTTTTTTGGCCGTTGCATCTACTCCCGTAGAAACCAGGGTGTTCAGGGGAAGAGAAGATCAGTGACAACCAGGAGTTGGAAAGCAGTTCCTGTCCTCAAACGGACCCAGGTGCTGCAGTTTACGTGTAGGACCTTATTCTTTTACGTTATAACTTTTCAGTGCTTAATTTTTAATTTGGTTTCAAATAATGACCCACGGTTCAATATTTAGTCTAGAAAAGAAGGGCAGAAAATTAAACTGCTCAAAACAGTTGGAAAACACTGTGGACAGAACAATTTAGAATCAGGGGTTTTTGCTTGTAAACACAAGCTTCCAATCACTCATTTAGTTAGCGAGAAAGAAGGATGCAATCACACAAATATTTTCCTCCTTAGGAAGACAGGAAATATCTTGTATTTTCACTACACATTACACGCAGTCCATTCACGTTTCCCTGGGAGGTGACTGAGGAAGCAATAGGCTCAGGCTGTTTGGTGTAATGGTTTCTGTTGCCTTTTGCGTAATTGCTTTTTCCGTTGTTTTGGGCCACAGCCCCTTAAGGCGTGCCTGCCCTGGTGTGAGGCACCATGGCCTCATCTGCCTCCCCCTCAGTTGAGCTGTGTGTGGAAAGGAGCTCCCTCCCTCGAAGAGGGTGTCTCCATCCTCAGCGACGGCTTGTGTCTTCCTTCGGTGCTTTTGAGCAGGGCTGCCTCCCTTTGGTGCTCAGGAGATTTTGTCCTGCTCTTTAGCTTGGCTCAGCACCGGCTGGAACCAGCAGTGCTTTCATCCAGGCATAACAGAGAGGAAAAAGTAAAGAGAATGATGTTTGGTTTTGTTTGTGTATGGCGGGTTTTTGATTTTGTTTGTTTTCTGGTTTTTATTTGATTTTGTATTCTCTCCCCTCCCCTTCCTCCCCCCATGAATTATGTTATTTTTCTTCAGGAAATTAATGTGGTGGGGTTTATTTTCTAATAAAACTAAACTATTCTTCACATATGTTATAAAATATAAACACTGCATCCCAAATGGTAGATACAACGTGGAAGGAAACTTCCAGCCTTTGATTTGCATTTGGAAGAGCCAGCTTGTGAAGTGTGATCCAGTACTGGAAGGCATTTACTTGCTTTCAGTTCCCACTAATGCCTGAATTAAGAAATGCTGCTTCTCAGTAATTAACCAAAGAAATACAAGTGTGAGAGAAAGGTGTGATCAGCGCTGACTTATTTCGTTCTGCAAGGTGTTTCTCTGCAGCGAGGCATTATAGGGTGACTGTGGCAGTGGTACTTGCCACCTGTGACACAGCTTCAAGATAGCACCCCACACCATGCGCCCTCCACAGACTGGCATGTCCTCACTCCCTTGCAATCGAGGGGAGTGTTTTTTTTTCCAAAACAATTCTGTTCCGAACTTAGCAAGCTGGAAACTGTTGAACGTATGCCAGTAAAGGATTTCTTCCTTACAGTGAGTGACCAGGTAGACTACTGAAGTGACTCATTTAGTAGACTGGAACGTGTTTTGTGACTTGCCATAATCCATCTGTACTTTATAAATGCTGGTGGCTAGAAATGTGATGAAATATATATGTTAAAATCTCAAAAATGAAAGTATATGTAACTGTAACTATTACTAAAATTAAATATTCTGCTACACGTAGAAGCTACAAACAACAATACTACATGTGAAAAGTTTAAGGTTGCTTGTTATTTCACATTGATGAGGACGGGAGAAAAATCTTAACTTTGAAAGGCCTGGAATTTGTTCATGTCTCAGATCTAATTTATCGCAAAATATGTTTTCAGAAATCTCATGAGTTACTATGTATGTCCTGATAGTTATTGAAGGCATAAATGCTTCTTCATTTGCTTGCATTCACATCTGTGCTGCCCCAGTACTGTAGTCCAGTCAGTGAACTAAAGAGCTGTGCATTCACAGGCTTTCTTCCGCATGTTTTCACACTCTGGTTTCTCTGTTATTTTTCTACCTTTTATACTACTTTCACAATGTGGTCCTGTGTTTATTGGTCTTTGCATCTCTCTCAGATACATAGGTAATCTAGCAGGCAAACACTATGCTTATCATAGTATTCTCCTTGATAGTTTTTAATTGCTCTCGTATTAGTTTCTGCATCTGTAAATCCTCTATTTCAAATTTTGGTGGGATTTTTTCTTTCTCTGATGTAGCCCAATATTGACAAGATTTATGAAGATTACGACTTTCTTTTTATAATTCTTGAACAGTCCATTTCGGCTCTCGTGGAGCTCATCTTCTTGGGTAATGCTCTGGAACAGAACAAAAGTTGGAAATTTTGGAATTCTTGATTTTCAACTGCTGCAGGTTTTTTTGTCGACCATGAAGTAGATGTTTAATTCATAAGGTTATTGAAAGACATTTACTTCAAGAGCTCCTGTAGACCACAAAGCACTTCTTTCCATTGTGTCACAAATCTTGGACCTACAGTAAAAGACCAAAACTGTGTTTTATTGTTGCAAGAAATAGTGATAGATCAAAGGACCTGTCAATGTGTAGTTTCCTACATTTATTTAGTAAAATTTTGTAACTTAGACTTCCCTCAGAGAAAAGCAGCATCCCTTTTCCCCTTCTTTCCACCCCACCTTAAAGTTCCTTGACAACTTTACTGTCCATTCTGTCTCCAAAGGTGTAACAAAGGTGATTGGTGTAGCAAAGGTGATTGGTGTAACACCTGAAAATATGAATAAAACATTCATATGAGGGACTTTGTCCTCTTAAGTAAACAACGCTTTGAAACAACAGTTTGCAGCCAAGAAAGAACAATCAGATTTCCTTTTAACCCTTGATGTATTAAAAATACTCGGTATTTGTACAGAAAATTTGAACACTATGAATCACTCTAGTGTCTTATACAATTGAATTAATTTCAAAGTCGCTTCCAAAAACATAGTAAGTTTTGTTCTGGAGTGGTTTTGATTCCAAAACCTGTGCAGTAGAATAAAGCTGCTTTTGTCTCTTGATATTCTTGAAAAGTGGTTCAGTATAGAAATATGAGAACAGCATTATGTGAGAATGTTCTACAGAGGTGAAATGATTCACAACTTTGTATGGAAACCTGATGGATTAGTTGGGAGATGGGAGACTGGCTAGTCTGATTACAAACTATTACTCTGGAATATTACTTTAATTGAATTAGAATAATTAAATACATTCTTTGAAGAGGAATGTCATAGTTGCATGATAATGCTAGAGGAAGATTTACCTGTCTTACAGTAATCCTAACTGAGTTTGCATACTGTCTGTTAATACTAAAGAAAAAGAGACTTACGATAAAGTGTTGGGAGTGCAGGTATTTTATTGTTATTTTTAATAACATTTTAACATATCAGTTGCGACATACTGACAAGGCAGAAAAATTCAGGAAACTTTGAATGCTTATAATATATTCTGCTGCTCGAAATTTAGGTTCTTGTTTTGATAATTTTCTCTTGACTCCTGTTTTCTTTAAGGTCTTATTCGATTACAAGAGCTCATCAAGGCTCCATCACGATACAACCTAAGACTAAAAATTCGTCAGTTACCAGCTGACACGAAAGATGCAAAGCCTTTGCTAAAGGAGATGAAAAGAGGCAAAGAATTCCATGTAATCTTTGACTGCAGCCATGAAATGGCAGCAGGCATCTTGAAACAGGTAATCCTCGTTTTGCTTTAGAGGGCTTAATCTTTTTCATCCCTAATAAATAAAAGTATTATCCAGACCTAATGGCATTTAACAAGTAGGGGAATTATATGTGAGTTTTATGGAGGCCTAACTGAAAATCAGCCAAGGATTTCAGAGGTAATTTTACTGATGATGCAAATGATAAGTTCTTTAATTATGCTTCTATAAAGAAACAGATTAATCAGTTCATGTTCAGAGGGAAAGGTATATCAGTCTTTCAACTATGAAGAACTTGTAATTTGAATAATTGATGTTTTAAGCAGGGTTTTAAATGCTTGCTTATTTTTATTTTATATAACAAAACTTTATTTATTTATTTATTTATTTGTTTATTTCTTTATTTCTTTATTATTTTTATTTGAAGTCTCCAAGATGCCTATTCTTAATCAGATAGTGATATCTGAATTGTATCTTACCAACAGGTCACATTAGTGTCTTCCACTGGGAGGACAGCAGTAAATATAAATATGAATAAGATGAGTTGGTGAGATACAGCAGAATTCCAAATACTTAACTGGCTTTATATTGCAGAAGCAGATTCCAGTGAGGTTTTCCTAGAGAAACTGGCAATGTAGCAGTATACAAAGGATTTGTCTCATAAAAGAGCTTGCTGTAACCCTGAAGTATGCATAGAAGGCAAGACTTTGTGTATCTTTATTTTAATGAGCTGTCTCCAAAGATAGGGAATTTCTTGTGCTCAGAGACCATCTTCCACACAGTTTTTTAATTGAACTATGACTTACAGTAAGGAGGATAGGAAGAATACCTAAACTAAAACAGGATTCTACATTTCTAGCTTTTAGTGACTTTAATTCACATTTAGATTATGTTTGCTAGCAAACTTTATGGTTTAAATTGAAAACAAAATGTATTTAAAAGTTGGAAATGTGAATCTCATTAAAGGTACTTATGGATATTATTGCAGGTACAATTAAAAGTGCAAGCAAGCATATACTTATACTACAATTTCTTTCTTTTATTGTTCATTAATTGAAAAACTTTTATTAATTCCTAGTAATTTTAGAGCTCTGCTGGGGTTTTTGCTCTTTGCCAAGCATGGGCCAGCCTACTTATTCTAACTGTTTAGCTCAAATCATTAAATGTACATTTAGTTATTTTAAAACCTAAAAAATACAGATGGCAAATGTATTGATGGCAATATTAAGCTGCAATTAATATTAACAATAACTCCATCCAGATCTATTACTTACACTGTACCTGGCAGTTTTTAGGTGAAAGGAAACTTCTGTTTCACAGTATACCACACTGTGAAAAACATATGACTAGAGGGAAATAGGAACAAAAAATTCATCCTAAAAATTACAGAAGGAAGATACAGGAATAATTCTTTAGGAGTGTTTAGATCTTTAAATATTCTGTAGATTTATACTTTTCCATTCAACTCAAATGCTGCAGTGTTTTAAATATGTCTAAAATTTGTAGTTCTGGAGCTGAATGTGAGCTCTTGTTCTCAAAATTGACACAAGGTATGCTAAAACTGTATTTATTATTTAGTGATAATATTCCAAATATAGTGTTTATAAGTGATTGTTGAAAAAAATATTAATTTCTGAAATAATAATTGATTGGGGTTTTTTGTGGGAATGGAGGGATGAATTTGGGGTTTCTTCTTGGAAGGATGATTGGAAAAATTAACAATGAAGTTGGTGAAAGAGAATACAAGTTGAAAATAAAAAGTACCTTGAGAGGCCAGTGAAATGGCAACTACTGTTAAGTGGCCAAAAATGCATGATGAAAAGGAAAAAAAAATCCCATCAGCCAAACAAGCATAATTGAATTCAGGCAAACCTCAGCGGTAACCACATCACCAGGCAACCAGGGAAAGCAGACACGATGTAAAAGGTTAGGAAAGCACTGCAGTAATGAGAACAGAGAAATGACAATGTTTGAAGAAGAAAAGGAAGTGAGGTCTTCAGAAAAGTGAGGAATGAGAAGGAAGAAAGACCTGTAAAAGAGGCAGCATCATCACACAGCAGAGTAAGGAACACGTGTATGATGTTGTGTGGGGATTCTTTGGAGTATGAAAGACCTGACTATATATAAGCAGTTACAATATATGTGACTGCAAATGTGTTACATATATAGAGGAAGATACTTTGGTTTTATTTAAAAACAAAACAAAAAATGTTCTTAAAAAAGCTAACAGTGTTTGTAGTTGTAGAATTTCTAATGAAGTTGTAATATTTCACATGAGAATGTGGTTTTAAGAGAACTTTAATTGCTATTGGAACACTATATCCTAGTTCTAATACTATTGTGGAATTTTAAATACACAAGTATAGGCATTCTTTGGAAAAGCGGTGTGGTTTTTGTCAAAATCTTGTTTAAAATGTTATAAAATCTGATCTGCAGCCAATATTTGGATTAATTTTAGATTTTTTCTTTGGAAAAGAACATATAGACTAATCAGTTTATCAGTTTCCAGACATTGCCACAAATAAACAGGCTCCTAAAACCCTCAAAACTAATAATTCTTCTGTATACAAATTCTGACGTTGTCAGAATTGTATAATTGTGACCTTCAGTGTCTTTAAGGAGATGCATCTGGTAGCAACTTGGGAAAAAATTCCAATAATTACTGGAAAGGAAGAATATATTGCTTACTTCTGTAGCTTTTCTATAGTGCTAAAATTAGATAAAAATCACTGTAGATACTAAATTGACTGAATAAATCATACTGATCTAAGGTAACTTTTGTGCAGAGCATTGATACCAGCTTTTCATGTGAAAATACCCTTAGTAATAAGAGTGATGAGACAGAATCTATTGCTTTAAAATTTTATCTACAAATATTTGTTCTTACGCATTTAAGAGAAAAGTATGGACATTTAAAATGTGCAGTTGATCAAATACTATTTAATATTGAAGGCACTTGATAGATATCTGAATTTATAGCATAATATTATTAATATTTGCTCTTCACTTTTATTTAATTAGTATGTATCTGGCTGTTCAAAATTTGACTCAAGAGAATTTTCTTCCATGGTTGAAAAAATGTATACCTGTATAATATAAGCTTGAGTCCTTCTTTTACATGCATAGTATTGTTCATCAAAATAGAAAAAGGAAATTCCTATGAGGTTATTCATTTTAAAGGAAGAGTTCAATAACGAATGACAATATTGTCAACTCAAATTTTGTGTGGTAACAATGTATCCATTAGTATGTAAAAACCTAAACCTCTTTCACATTTACTGGACTAAACAGCCTAACAATATTCTTTCTATCAGAAGATCTGCTTCATAAATTCCTTTAATAGTCAGTAATCTTCTCTAACTTCTAGGAAATTATTTGCTTGACCTAATTTTAGTATAATTCCAATCTTATAGTCTGATCCCAGTAGTGTTCTTTTGTAACTTTTTATTTGTCATGTAAGTGTGACAAAAATGTATTATGTGACCTCAGAAAAATTAATCTTTTGTTTATTTTTCCAAGGCTTTAGCTATGGGAATGATGACAGAATACTATCACTATATCTTTACCACACTGGTAAGTGACTTATAAAAGCATACTGATGACATCTAACAAAGATGTTACTTTCCTAATTATATTACTTAACAATGTGTAAAAGGTCTCTCTGGAATGGGGTGTGAGTACAAGATGTTTTCTCTGTTGAGTTTTCTTACTTTCAGTGAAAACTCATCAGGATGGCTTAATTATTGTTCAACAGTGTGCCTTGGAAACTGCTAGACATGAAAAACCTGTAGTACTGCAGTTTTTAACTGCAGTGAAGGAGGGTTAAGTACATAATTCATAATTCATTGTTTATATGATGCATTTTGTCCTTTTTATCTTTTGGCTATTTGTATGTGAAGATTAAGGTATTTTTAAAATTTACTCATATATTCCTTATTTTTAATCCAACGTTTTACAAGATAGTTTTTCTCTGTCATATGATTCATGAATAATTTGGTATGAATCTTAACAGCATTTTATTTAACAATCCGCATGAGCTTTTTAGGCACATGAATTATGCAATATTCTTTGGTGTCCAGTGCAAGTGTAACTTAGAAGGAATTTGATAATTCTTGGATCTATTATTTGCACTAAATGAACATTTAAAAATGTGAACGCTCTTACAAACGTAACAAACGTGTATGGGAAGACCGTTTTTGCTGCTCACCACAGCCTAAGAAACAGTTTGAAAATTGGTAAAATAGTACTCTAAGAAATACAGTTGTGAACATTTCTCTGTTTTGAGAGGTCCTTTTGTCTAATTAGATTGCAGTTATTTAAGTTTCTTAAAATACAAGACAAGCATGAGACAGATGTGCCTTGGCGAAACCATGCTTGAAATGACCCATGTTTAAAGTCACATATATGTTTAAATTCTTGTGAGAATGAATCCTTTGTGCCAGAATAGGAAGTTCACCTCAGAATCAGAAAAACCAAGTTCATGGAAAATATTAACATGAAGTAGCTAGAAAAAGCAAAATAATTTGTGAAGTTCAAATGCGCACCCTGCACAAATACCTGTCTTATTTTAGAAGGGTAAGTTATTGTATCACTTATAGATTTAGAATTGCATGCAATAGAATTTCCCTCACTGAATAGGTTTTCCTCCAGAAAAATGGGTTATAGATGTTTCAAAGAATTTTTTATTTTTTAAATTCTTATTTTGCTATTGAGGATAATTGTTTCTTTGAGTGGTATTGCTGCCCATTGGTATTGAATTTTTATTCTTAAAACTATATTTAAAAATCAGGATTTTCTGTCACTCTTAGTTCCTTATTAGAACATTAGATTTTTGAAGGAGATTAGAGTGTTATATTGACTTGGAACTATCAAGGGATAATTTACTGTGCACAAAGATGTAATAGATTTTGATTTTGCAATGTAGCTCTGGAACTTGCATTACAATTTAGCTGTTTTGATATATTAATTGCTTCTTACCTGACATGGTGAAAATCCTGTCAAATAAATTTTCCAGTCACAGTGTTTACAAATCTTCTGTGTAATCTCCTCGTGATTGATTCAGGGTCTAATGCAGTAGCTTATTAATAAACTGACCTGCGTGCATTTGTAGTATATGCATAATATTGTTGTGTATATTTATTATATTCCAGTGTAAACATGAATGTGTTTGGATTAAATAATTACATCCAAGGTTCTGACCTCTTGCACGGTAAAAACTGAGAATTTTTAAAGAGAAAAATGTAACATAGGTTTAATTGTGTTCAACTTTTCCTTTGCAATAAAATGTGTTATTTCTTTACAAAGAGGATACAAATTTGGTTATTTTTAAATGAATTTTGACACCTGCATATCTTTGCTATTATGTATGGGAAATTATATCATAATTATTAGCTATAATTAAAAATGGGTAGTGATTGATAACTGGTTGATATTTTTGTGGTCTGAGTGATGTTAACAATGAATAATAAATTATAATCTGATTTTTCTTTAGTACAATATTTAATCTTCTTCAGGTCTAGCCAGTAAACAAAACAGATTCAGGCAAATGTTATACCTAACACTACCATTTTATGGAAATTTATAATATATTAAACTGACCGCAAAAGTCACATTAAAAATGAGAAAAATGGCTAAGTACAAATTATGGGAAGAATTTCTATGTTCAATAAAGCTAAAATTATGTCATAGGGTAATAATATCTTATGTATAACCCTGATTACATCTTTTTCCCCCTCCATGTTCAAAACTTGATCTTAGACCTGGGTTTCCTAAAGTCAAGTACTGTTTGTACACTATTTCTAAGGATTTTGTCAAAGGATTAGGATAATATTGAGTTTAGTTGCTTGAGCTAAAATGCTAAAATTTGATTTTTTTTCTTTTTCTTTTTAATAATTACATTTACCTCTGTGTGTGTTGGAGGGCTAACTGTACACAAACATACACACATACATATGTATTGAAAACATATTAATTGGCAAAGGTTATTCTTGCAAAGATGTTTGAAGTTCAACGGGTGGCAGTGAAAAATGCTTTTGATTAAATTTAAAGCTATGTATATTTCCCCTTTTCCCTGCTCACCACCCTCCCCTTTTCCCCTGCCACCAATTTATCCTCCTAAGATTAACAAGTTCAAGTTTCACAGAGACTGAAAGTGCAAGGAAACTCTTGTTCTGTTTATTTTATGATTTGATGTCTGACTTCTAGTAAATCCAAGAAGTAGTGATTAATAAAAATATTTAGCAATCAATAATAATATTTAAGCTTATTATAGTATTTCGGCCTAACTAGTAGCGGATACAATTCTGTAACTGGACTTAATGCTTCCTGAAAGACTGTTCTTCCTCTGTGAGTCAGATTACTCCCACTATAAGGTCAGCCAAGTTTCTTGTCCACAGACCCCAGATAAACAGAACATACTTCCTAGCATATATAGGACTGAAAATTTCCATGCTCTCATATGGGGAGATGGTCCAACAATTGAAATAGGAGCTTTAATGTATTAAAGAATTTATATAATGGTAATTTTTTCAGGATCTGTTTGCCCTGGATGTGGAACCCTATCGGTACAGTGGTGTTAATATGACTGGATTCAGAATTCTAAACACGGAAAATACCCAGGTGTCATCTATCATTGAAAAGTGGTCTATGGAGCGATTGCAAGCACCCCCAAAGCCTGACTCAGGTTTGCTGGATGGATTTATGACGGTATGAATACCAGTGTTTGGTTCCTTTTTTTGGGATATCTTTGGGAAGCTAAAAAAATTTTTGACTTTTTGTTTGTTACTACAAGTGTTTAGAGGCATGTAACCAAATAGTATTGTTAACATGAGGCAGGGAGTTACAGTGGTGTTTCTGTTAATATTTTGCAGATTGAATACGACTTTGCAGATTGAATGCTTTTTTTTCAAAATTACACATACCACATTTTTTTTCCAAAATATAGTGCCATATTCTAAATGTCTAATTCACCTAGTCCACATTTCCCTACTTTGCTGGTGAAAATACTGCGAGGGATCATGTCAAATCCTGATAAAAGTCAAGCTAATGACAGCTGTCTCTTTCTCTGTCTTGTGTGTCTTATTAATTTAAGATTCATTTATTAATAACGTGTACTTTTAAATTTCTATATAAATCTTGTTTTTAAATATTTTATTAATATTATAAATAACACCTTCTTACTATCTTTTTCACTTTCTGTGACCTCAGATAGGTAATATATCTGGTTGTTTGTTTTTTCCTTCCACTGCCATTATTCTTTAGCCTCACTTCTGTTTATAAAAATCACAATTACATTCCTGAAAATAAACTTTCATTACTGGGTTTTTGGTGAGTTTATGCTCATTAGTTGGAATTAAATCTGGAATGACAATGTCAGGAAGGGATCTATTTTAAAACATATCCTACATTAGAACCTCTTTAGTCTTCAAATATATTGAAAGATTTACCACTTTGACCATTTAGCAATTTAGGTTGTTGGGTTTTGTTTTGGTTTTGCTTGGGGTTTTTTGGGTGTATCTGTGTTGTTGAGGCTTTTCATGTTCCATTTGAAAAAAAGCAAATTTTGTTTCTTGAAGATTTATATCTTCGTTATCTATCAGTTGTCCAGATAGTGTTAATTAAGCCAAATACATAGTTAATGTTGTGAAAAATTTTTTCTACTGATAAGGTTTAAAGACTATATAGACATTAGTTACTAAATTAAAATCAATATTTTATGAGGTTAATTTAATTTTTTTTAGAGAGTTATCATTTTTAGAGAAAAATACTTTTTTCTTCTTTGTACTTTTGTATATAATATCTTGCACATGATAATTTCAAACATTTTAAATTTAATTTATTTGCTAGTTCTGATAGATACAGATTCTATCATACAGTACTTTAAAAGTTAGATTGTTCATTTCTCTAAATAATTTCAAATAAGCAAATGAACCCCCAAAAATCTGAAAATTGTGTGAAGTGTCCATCTGGTTTATATAAAGCAGCTGCTTATTATTGTAAGTCATTGTTTCTTGCTTCCTTTTTTGCATTAATATTTTCATTCCTTTATTTTTATCATTTTGAATTTAAAATTTGCAACACCACTTCTCATTCATTATATTCGTATATTTTATGCATTGATCAAAGATGTAATTGATATTTATCAAATAAGTTGTGATAGTTACTTTGTGAGAACATAGGGCCATGGTCAAAAAATAATGGAATAATAAATATTGGAATAGAGTTCTGTGGGCCAGTTGCAGGTTTTTCATCTTCTGTGGTACTGTAAAGAAAGTGTTTCTCTCAGAAAAGCTTCTGATGTGAGGCAGAAACCTATAATTGCTAGTACATGACTCTGTAAGAATAATACTTTATGACATTACTTTGTCTCAGGATAGAAAAATATAAAAAAATGCATGAAAAACACAGTGGTTTCTTTTCTTGACCCTTTAAAGCCCTCTGTGCTCTAAGTGGAACCAAGTGTTCATACAGACTGTGATGAATATTTTATGGGGATTCTTTGTGTTGATTAAGCATCTAAATATGCTTTGATTACCTGGGTTTTAAATACTTGAGGGATGCAGATAATGTTTAAAGGATATTTAAAGGGCTAATAATCTTGGCACGTGCTTACAGAGCTTTTATAATCTGGCCCTTAGATACAGAAAAAACATTCACAACATGTCCTTTTGGAAGGTGTAAAAGAAATTCACTTCATGACATCATTGCACAGTGTTCTGTCTGTGCTGAGAATAAAATAAGCTATTTTATTGACTTATGATCAGTGAAGTTGTTAAGTGTGTAAAATTTGACTTTCATGTCACTGATGTTCATGCGTATTTAAAGTCTGAAATGTACTTGGGAATGAAAGATTCTTCACAGATATTGCTGTTATGGAATACTCTGATATGGGCTGAACTGGATTTTTTTTTTAATTTTTGCTGGTTGATAATGGCTACAGCTTAATGGAAAAAAAATCTGCTTAATGGGAGTGCATTCAACTTGAACAACATAGCTAAATGCCATTTAATCAGGTTTTAAACCACCTGAAACTTGTGCCAAATAAAAACCTGGGACGTGGATAATGTATTTAGAGACCTTGGTAAAGACTCACTGCTTTCCATTGGTGTAAAATCAGGCAGTTATGGATTGCAAAGTTTTTAAGCTCTGGTGGTGTTTGTGCTAGGTATTTCTACCCTGGACTTTTTCACCATATCAATTTAGCCATTATAACTGTTAGAACTATCAACATAACTCTGACATTGCTTTTCCTTATTTATGATTCACAGAGTTCCCAGTCTTAACTATTGTTTCAAAGTATTTTCTGTAGGATTGTATAACCTCTAACTAATAATTTTCCTCGTACTTACCTTACTTTTAGTATCTCAATATAATAAAGAGTGGGTATAAAATTTCATCTCACCTATTTGGAATGTTCCAAGTTAAGCTTTCAAGTGGGAATCCTATTGAGTACAATTATAATAGTTTTTCCTTTGTTTCTAGTCTGTTCCTCAGCACAGCTCTGGAAAGGGCGATGGTTTAGCACATCTGAGAGGAAGAGTAATGAAAACCATGTTTTCCATCATATTTCACTCTCCTTTTAAGATTTCTTAAGATTCTTTGCATAGTCTTTGGAGAAAAAAAATTAAACTATTTAATGAATGTTTCCATATTGAATAATTCTATTAATAAATGTTTACTTATTTGTATACCTAATCCATTTTATTATTTGGGAGAGTAGCTACTGTACAATTGACTTTATTCTTTCTGTGACTCCAGAAAATCTGTGGAAATGTTGGAAATCATTAACCATGTTATGTCAGACTATACACACTTTCTTTACGCAGTCTTCTTGGGATAAAACGTGTGCTTTTTTAAATGTTTATAAGAATCAAATAGATATGATTTCTATAAAAGTCTAAACTAATTTCTATTAAAGACTAAATGTGAATATACTTTTATATGATATATAGAAGTCCTGAGGAAGTCTCACTGGTCTACTTTTACTGAAGAGGTTTTTCTATTGTGATTCAAATACTAATAGATCTAATTCATGCTTTTAATAGTTCTCTCATGTTTCTTTAGGTCCAAGGGTAATCAAAATGGTAGTTATGCTCATAACATAGAAATGTTAATCTAAATGTGTTGCTATTCAAGTACATTTGTGTCTTTTTATCTGTGTCACACACTTGTGTGAGTATTCTCAGCAGTCTTGTATTTATTTTGAATACTGTATTTGTATCACCATGCTCTTACTAAACAGATGGAAAGAAAATATAGTGTGTTTAAAAACAAACATTGCATGGAACTGGCATATGTTATGGCTATTGTTTCTTATAATAAAAGTACAGGAATCTGTTAATTATAGTTTTGCCACAAGTAATAAGCAGTGTCTTTAGAAAATAACAGAAGAAAAGAAGGTCAAAGATCAAACTATTGCAATACTTTATCTTTCTTGCTAGTAGAATTAGCTGTATCTAACATTTCTCTATTTCTCATTGTCTTCTTGTTTCTTCTTGTTACTGTTGGGTGAAAAAAGCCCAATGAAATAAAGAATGCACTTTTTGCATTTTAAATCCAAATCTGTTTCTTTTTTCAGACTAGAATAAACTTTGTAATTAATTCTCACTTGATCCTGCACTTCCTGATTTAATTCAGCAATTCATAAAAGTGAGTTTTTTAAAATTTGGCTTACATATTTCCAAACAAAATCCAAAATGTCTCTAATCTGTCAAAATGTAACTGTTAATGTTGTTTCAGTCATGCAGTTCCCTGTTTCTCACCACCTAATTTCACTTGTTAGCAGTCCAAAATGCACTGTTATAAAGTTAGACTCCGGACAGGGTGGATCGTTAGCTTTTGCCCCTTGTGTTATCCTGTTACTGAACAACTTCTAACTAGATTGAGGATCTTTAAACGATTCTCTGATATATAATATATTAATTTTTATTTTCCACCAAGTTTAGACTGAATTCTGAAATTTGAAAGTGTTTGCTACTTAGCAACCACTTGAACAAAATGACATGGCGTTAGTAAAGCCACATTATTTTTTCAAACAGAATATGGTTTCTTCTTGAAAAATGAACTTATAATGTAAGTTAATAAAAAACTCAAACAAACTAGAACAAAATAATAATATTTAATTTATGTAACTTGAGATTTTTTTTTCTTGCAAAGTTTAGATTTGGAAGGGTTCATGCTTATTTTGGCCGGGAGTAAAAATTGAATTTTAAATTTTCCTGTAAGATGGAAAAAAACCTACTTAACTATAATGACTGAATATTTTTGTTAAATTCTAAAAATATTTTCATCTGTACTGTATAAACAGAAAAATATTCTGGAAAACAGAGGGATCATGTACTATTTTAAAGAAAGTTTACCTTGACATACTTTATTTATTGGTTTTGAGTCTGTACAAGTAGCACACAGAAAGAGGAAAAAATCTCTGAGCATAAATGTACTTTTAGATTTATATATGCCAACCATGACTCAAACCAAGCAAAGTAGAGCATGAAAAAAGTGTTATGAGTTCAGACTTCTTTTACTCTACAACTCTTAATCTTCACAGTTTTCTTTGCCTCAAGTCAGAATTTAACATGCATAATTAAGATGACCTAACAAGCTCTGCTGCTTCATTAACATAAAGTTTTCCTTACTAATTGCTCTTGCCTATCATCCAATTTAGCTATCTGCTTTCCTCTTGTGTAGAAAGGAGTTTACTTTTTTTT